ATCTCATCAAGAATGTAACTTGCTTAGCTAAATGAATTGTGGGGTTGAGTCCCTGAGCCCATTATGTGCCTCTGTAACCCTTTCCACTACCGCCCACAAGATGGGTATGGGGTGCATAATAAATGAACTAAACTAACTAACCTGTTCCAGATCATTTACGTGAGGTAGAGAATGTTCCCCCTGTTGTGTGCCCCGAGGCACCCCCTCTTGTTACCTCTCTCCCTTTGTCTAATTGATTTGTTTATTTTGCTCCGAGGGGCGAGTTTATTGGGCAGCGTCACTCATGTTGTGAGTGGACACACCGCCATAGTGACAGTATTGGGCAGCGCCACTCATGTTGTGAGTGGACACACCGCCATAGTGACAGTATTGGGCAGCGTCACTCATGTTGTGAGTGGACACACCGCCATAGTGACAGTATTGGGCAGCGTCACTCATGTTGTGAGTGGACACACCGCCATAGTGACAGTATTGGGCAGCGTCACTCATGTTGTGATTGGACACACCGCCATAGTGACAGTATTGGGCAGCGTCACTCATGTTGTGAGTGGACACACCGCCATAGTGACAGTATTGGGCAGCGTCACTCATGTTGTGATTGGACACACCGCCATAGTGACAGTATTGGGCAGCGTCACTCATGTTGTGATTGGACACACCGCCATAGTGACAGTATTGGGCAGCGCCACTCATCCTGTGAGTGGACACACCGCCATAGCAGCATGTACAACACTCCCCAATAGGAAGAAAACCCGCTGGGTTGTTCATCCTGTCACTTGTACCCAGACACAGCTGGGACTTCCTTAACTGTCTCAAATGAACAGCTTCTCAAAGAAGAAGATTAACTTTCGTCAACCCTTAGAATCTTACGTTATCTTACAGGGGCAAAATGGGGGAATCGGTTAAGAACAGTATCTATATTAGACAAATAGTGTTTTCTCGACTGAAACAATGTGGGGTTTATTATTCTACACATATTTCTAATGTCTCGTAGATGTTCACAGTTTCTCAGGTAGTGGTCAAGGCGGTGTCCGTCACTCTCACTACAGTTTCTGCAACTCCGCTGCTTAACTGTTGTTTCCATTCCGAATCTCCATGGATATTTGTATCCAAGACGGATTTTTGCTATTATTGATTCTCTCCCGCGGCCACATCCTCTTCGTCCATAATGATAGGGATTGCCAACTGCAACCACATTGTACCATCGTACAGATTCACTTGTTTGTTGTTCTTTCCTCCTTTCCTCAGTAACCTTGTCACGGTGATGTTGCCTGACAATACCTCTAATTTGTAGCGGAGTCTTGGGTATGAAGTATTCAGGTTTTGTAGCGCTGCTTTAGAATCAATGCAGATCACTGCACCGTTAGTGCGTCGTTCAAGGAATCTTAACACTATAACAATGGCAGTTAGTTCCGCTTGTGTTGAAGAGGCATAGTTCTCAATACGGGCTTTTCCTTCATTTCCGCGTTCTAAGGCATTATTCTAATTAAACTGTATGCTGCACCAGTCCTGTCATTGACAGGGTTAGATGACCCGTCAGTGTAGATTTAATCTATTTCATTTCCGGCTGCATTATAAATTTCCTCAAAATATTTGTGCCTCATTTCTTGTGGTATCATGTTGGACATTTTCGTTGTCATCTTTCTGATGATAATCCTGCATGAGTCATCCTCCCAGGGAGGTAACCTCTCTACAGGCAGGAGCTCACGGGCTTGCTCAAGCAGGTGAAGCTCTTCCAGGTAGCAGACTGATCTGTGATGCCATTTTTTTTTGCTTTTCCTGTTTCCTCCTGTAAGTGGCACAGAGCTCAGTTTTTTTTGGCAATATCATTGTAATGGGGATCTCTGGCTATCATTGCAAGCTTAGCATTCAGTTTCTTAATTCTGCTTGTAACACTGGGGAGAGAGAACTCCTCTCGTAGATTAAAAGGTTTGGCAGTTCTTGGGACTCCAAGAATAATTGTCATGGCTTCATTTTGTATGCGTTCAAGTTTTTTCATATCGGTTTGGGAGTAGGTGCACAGAACTGGTGCGGCATAGTCTATGACGGAGCGCACATAGGCTGTGTACATCATTTTAAGCACGGCAATAAAGGCTCCATGTCCATTCCAGGTCATAGCTTTCAGTGCCCTGAGTCGACTTTTGCATGTTCCTATGAGTTGATTGAGCTCCTCTTTCTTCCCCTTGTTAGAGCCGACAGTGACGCCAAGGTACCGATAGTGGTCAACCCATTCAAGTGTTACTCCATTAATTTGTTGTTCTTCCTTTTCCCCCCCGCTAGTGATGAGAGTATGTTTTTGTCTTGTTGGTGGAGAGAGTGAAACAGAGTTCAACACATTTCCTTCCAAGGAGTGCAATGGACTGTTTAATTTTTGTCCAAGGTGAGAGCTTGTATTAAGTGGAACATCATATCTTCATATCCCACTTGTTGTGTTCCTTCAGGACATTAAATATTTGCAATGGCGTTCATAAGGGTGCTGAACGTTGAAGGAAACGTTCCTGCTGTTCAATGATTGTTTATCAACCTTGCGAATTCCCCTTAGATATATCGAGATAGATAAACCTGAGGATAGTGGATATCTCTTTGAGCCTATTTCCCATGCAGGCGATGAGTCACAATAACGTGGCTGAAGTATGTTGACCAGACCACACACTAGAAATTGAAGGGACGACGACGTTTCGGTCCGTCCTGGACCATTCTCAAGTCGATTCATGCACATGGGTATCCAAGCCTGATGCGATGCAAGTGTACTTCTGTTGTTCTACTGCTCCCTTTCATCAAACTAAGTGGTTCGTAGTTGGTTGAATTCTTGTACCAACCCGCAGATCCTGATGTTGCAACTGCTGTTCTTTCTTTACGAATAAAGAACATAGTTCATGTAATCATCTTGGCTTAAGGGAAAGGGGTTAAATGGCCCTCTGAAGTACAGGTTATATACAAGGCGCCAAGCACCACGAGGTCCGGCCTGCTGGCACCATCTGGAATGGTCTCCAGAAGCTTCTGGAGACCATGATGACTGTCTCTGTGAAGGAGCGAGTATGCTGCCACCTAAAGTCACTCACCTTTTATTCTTAAAGTTTATTTTCTACTACAGATGTGGCCATTCATTTATATCTGTACTACATACCTTGTGGTTACCTTGGGTTGGTTCCGAGGATCAATGTCCCCGCAGCCCGGTCTCTAACCAATGCCTCTTGGTTGGTGGTCTCGTCAGGCAGGCTATTACACGTGGCTGCTCGCAGCCTGTCGTATGAATCACAGCCTGCTTGATCAAGTATCCTTTTGAAATGTTTGTCAAGTTCTCTTCTGAACACCTCATGTTGATAAGAATTCTCTCTGAGCGTACCTACTGCACAGCTACTGTTCATTGGGGCTATTTTGCACTTCCTGCCATGCCTCCTGGTCTCCTGGTTTTGTGTGTGTTTTGACGGCGTTTTATATGTGCTTTGCCTTGTTTTCCATAGCGCAGGAACTGAAACCTATCGTCAATAATCATAATACTTTCTGTGGCTCCTTGAAAGATCCGATTTGCATCATATGGGAGATTTGCTGTGTCCTCAATACTGCCAACTCTCACACAAATCTTAAATGTCTCTTAAGATTTAATCTTAATCCTGGCTTAATCGTTAAGCAAAGGACGATACAGTACTGTGTCTTTGTCTATAATTATTATGAGGATGGGGAAAAGTACGGGAAGTAATGGACAGTACCCTAATGGGGAGGGGGGGGGGGGAGGGACTGGCCTATTGACAGTGGATGATCTGGATTTCACTGTCTTGACTATTACACTCTCGTCTCTGTTCGTTGGGAAATTAAAGATCCATCTTCCAGCTCTTAATTCCCCCTTAGTGTACATTGACACCATATGGTTACACCTGTCGAAAGCTCTCGCGAATTGTGTGTATAATTACATCAGTGATTGGATTGTTTAATTACACAACCCCTGGACCAATGTTATGTAGACACTGTGGTTCCACGAGTGTTGTGATCTTACTAAGATTGTTTTAGAAAGATCCTTAAATCTTGCGAAGATTTTTTGTGTGTGTTGTGATATCGGTTTATAATTTTTTTGCCTCTGCTATATTACCTCCTTTATGGAGTTGTGTTATCTCCGCTGTTTTAAAGCATGGCGTCTCCAAAAGATGTTTACGGCCGGTGGTAATGCATTTTCACACCTTTTTGACACAGGGTTAGAAAGCCGTTCTTCTGCACAGAGTGCCATATGCGTGGCACTATGAGGTGAGGACGTGTCGAGGTCAGAGGTCGGGCGGTACCTGACAGGTCACACGCCCACACACACCAAAGCTATCATCTAATGTCTGTCATCGTAGGATCATTATTGTATAAGATCAGTTAACTAAAAAAAACAGAAAAACTACTTTGCCAGTAGGTTGAGTAAGCCATTTTCTCTTCTGACTCTGTCTCTCTGTCTTTCTCTGTCTTCCGTCTCTCTTTTTCTCTCTCCTCCATCTCTCTCACTCGAAACCTTCCCAGTCCATCCTACCTGGTCGTAGAAATAAGATCACCATTGCCGAGTTTTACTCTTAGAAAATTACATGAGCAAACGTTCAATAAGATTATATTTTCCGTACGATTGAGCAAAATTTTTTTGTTGTTGTCTTGTGTAATTGTAAGCCCCGTTATCTTGCCCCGGCTTAGCACGTGGTAACAGTGATTGTGACGTGTTTGATCAGCAGTAAAACACAGGGTTCAGCTGCACCGCTCCAGGGGTGTCTGGCATCCCTGGCTTCACAAAGTCTCGCCCCAGGACGAACAACACATCTAGTTTATTATGGTGTTCCCTGTTTTTTTTTCTCTCCAGGAGCAACGACGGTAACCACGTGTTTTCTGCGGATACACTCGGGTGTGTTTTTGTTTACCTTGTGTTGCTGCTGCTGCTTCACCTTGTGTTGCTGTTGCAGCTTCACCTTGTGTTGCTGTTGCAGCTTCACCTTGTGTTGCTGTTGCTGCTTTACCTAGTGTTGCTGTTGCAGCTTCACCTTGTGTTGCTGTTGCAGCTTCACCTTGTGTTGCTGTTGCAGCTTCACCTTGTGTTGCTGTTGCAGCTTCACCTTGTGTTGCTGTTGCAGCTTCACCTTGTGTTGCTGTTGCAGCTTCACCTTGTGTTGCTGTTGCAGCTTCACCTTGTGTTGCTGTTGCAGCTTCACCTTGTGTTGCTGTTGCAGCTTCACCTTGTGTTGCTGTTGCAGCTTCACCTTGTGTTGCTGTTGCAGCTTCACCTTGTGTTGCTGTTGCAGCTTCACCTTGTGTTGCTGTTGCAGCTTCACCTTGTGTTGCTGTTGCAGCTTCACCTTGTGTTGCTGTTGCAGCTTCACCTTGTGTTGCTGTTGCAGCTTCACCTTGTGTTGCTGTTGCAGCTTCACCTTGTGTTGCTGTTGCAGCTTCACCTTGTGTTGCTGTTGCAGCTTCACCTTGTGTTGCTGTTGCAGCTTCACCTTGTGTTGCTGTTGCAGCTTCACCTTGTGATGCTGTTGCAGCTTCACCTTGTGTTGCTGTTGCAGCTTCACCTTGTGTTGCTGTTGCAGCTTCACCTTGTGTTGCTGTTGCAGCTTCACCTTGTGTTGCTGTTGCAGCTTCACCTTGTGTTGCTGTTGCAGCTTCACCTTGTGTTGCTGTTGCAGCTTCACCTTGTGTTGCTGTTGCAGCTTCACCTTGTGTTGCTGTTGCAGCTTCACCTTGTGTTGCTGTTGCAGCTTCACCTTGTGTTGCTGTTGCAGCTTCACCTTGTGTTGCTGTTGCAGCTTCACCTTGTGTTGTTGTTGCTGCTGCTTCACCTTGTGTTGCTGCTTCACCTTGTGTTGCTGCTGCTGCTTCACCTTGTGTTGCTGCTGCAGCTTCACCTTGTGTTGTTGTTGCTGCTTCACCTTGTGTTGCTGCTTCACCTTGTGTTGCTGTTGCAGCTTCACCTAGTGTTGCTGTTGCTGCTTCACCTAGTGTTGCTGTTGCAGCTTCACCTAGTGTTGCTGTTGCTGCTTCACCTAGTGTTGCTGTTGCTGCTTCACCTTGTGTTGCTGCTTCACCTTATGTTGCTGCTTCACCTTGTGTTGCTGCTTCACCTTGTGTTGCTGCTTCACCTTGTGTTGCTGCTTCACCTTGTGTTGCTGCTTCACCTTGTGTTGCTGCTTCACCTAGTGTTGCTGTTGCTGCTTCACCTAGTGTTGCTGTTGCAGCTTCACCTAGTGTTGCTGTTGCTGCTTCACCTTGTGTTGCTGCTTCACCTTGTGTTGCTGTTGCTGCTTCACCTTGTGTTGTTGTTGCTGCTTCACCTTGTGTTGTTGTTGCTGCTTCACCTAGTGTTGCTGTTGCAGCTTCACCTAGTGTTGCTGTTGCTGCTTCACCTAGTGTTGCTGTTGCAGCTTCACCTAGTGTTGCTGTTGCTGCTTCACCTAGTGTTGCTGTTGCTGCTTCACCTTGTGTTGCTGTTGCTGCTTCACCTTGTGTTGCTGCTTCACCTTATGTTGCTGCTTCACCTTGTGTTGCGGCTTCACCTTGTGTTGCTGCTTCACCTTGTGTTGCTGCTTCACCTTGTGTTGCTGTTGCTGCTTCACCTAGTGTTGCTGTTGCTGCTTCACCTAGTGTTGCTGTTGCAGCTTCACCTAGTGTTGCTGTTGCTGCTTCACCTTGTGTTGCTGCTTCACCTTGTGTTGCTGTTGCTGCTTCACCTTGTGTTGTTGTTGCTGCTTCACCTTGTGTTGTTGTTGCTGCTTCACCTTGTGTTGTTGTTGCTGCTTCACCTTGTGTTGTTGTTGCTGCTTCACCTTGTGTTGTTGTTGCTGCTTCACCTTGTGTTGTTGTTGCTGCTTCACCTTGTGTTGTTGTTGCTGCTTCACCTTGTGTTGTTGTTGCTGCTTCACCTAGTGTTGCTGTTGCTGCTTCACCTTGTGTTGTTGTTGCTGCTTCACCTAGTGTTGTTGTTGCTGCTTCACCTAGTGTTGCTGTTGCAGCTTCACCTTGTGTTGCTGTTGCAGCTTCACCTTGTGTTGTTGTTGCTGCTTCACCTTGTGTTGCTGCTTCACCTAGTGTTGCTGTTGCAGCTTCACCTAGTGTTGCTGTTGCTGCTTCACCTAGTGTTGCTGTTGCAGCTTCACCTTGTGTTGCTGTTGCTGCTTCACCTTGTGTTGTTGTTGCTGCTTCACCTTGTGTTGTTGTTGCTGCTTCACCTTGTGTTGCTGCTTCACCTTGTGTTGCTGTTGCTGCTTCACCTTGTGTTGCTGTTGCAGCTTCACCTTGTGTTGTTGTTGCTGCTTCACCTTATGTTGCTGCTTCACCTTGTGTTGCTGTTGCTGCTTCACCTTGTGTTGCTGTTGCAGCTTCACCTTGTGTTGTTGTTGCTGCTTCACCTTGTGTTGCTGCTTCACCTTGTGTTGCTGTTGCTGCTTCACCTTGTGTTGTTGTTGCAGCTTCACCTTGTGTTGCTGCTTCACCTTGTGTTGCTGTTGCTGCTTCACCTAGTGTTGCTGTTGCAGCTTCACCTTGTGTTGTTGTTGCTGCTTCACCTTGTGTTGCTGTTGCAGCTTCACCTTGTGTTGCTGCTTCACCTTGTGTTGCTGTAGCTGCTTCACCTAGTGTTGCTGTTGCAGCTTCACCTTGTATTGTTGTTGCTGCTTCACCTTGTGTTGCTGTTGCAGCTTCACCTTGTGTTGTTGTTGCTGCTTCACCTTGTGTTGCTGCTGCAGCTTCACCTAGTGTTGCTGCTGCTGCTTCACCTTGTGTTGCTGCTGCAGCTTCACCTAGTGTTGCTGCTGCTGCTTCACCTTGTGTTGCTGCTGCAGCTTCACCTTGTGTTGCACATATAAAAAGGGTTAATCAAAGATGTCTTCACACAACCAAACCATCTATTCTATTCTTGAGGTTATCTTGAGGTTATCTTGAGGTTATCTTGAGATAATTTCGGGGCTTTAGTGTCCCCGCGGCCCGGTCCTCGACCAGGCCTCCACCCCCAGGAAGCAGCCCGTGACAGCTGACTAACACCCAGGTACCTATTTTACTGCTAGGTAACAGGGGCATAGGGTGAAAGAAACTCTGCCCATTGTTTCTCGCCGGCGCCTGGGATCGAACCCAGGACCACAGGATCACAAGTCCAGCGTGCTGTCCGCTCGGCCGACCGTCTCATAAAGACATCCTGACCAGAAATGCCGAAATAATCAGAGCATAAGGTGCTGGACATAGCTCAAGCACCTCCTTTCAAACACTCATGAAACTGCGAATATTCAGTTTACACCGAGGTACGCGCCCTACCATCTACGCTACCAAGAGTGAGTTACCAGTTTATAACATGAGTAACGCTGGCCAATACTGTCACAGTGGCGGTAAGTTCACTCACAGAATGAGTTTCGAGTTTCGTTAAAGTGTTTTTAAGATGGGGGCTTCACGATGGGGCGGCATACTCTAACACTGGTCTCACGTAAGTGGTGAATATAACTCCACTGCGGGCTCACCATAGCCCGTGCTACTTTGAACTTTGTTCCAGGTAGCGAATCTTTAACAACATTTAACAACAAGTGGTGAACAGCTATCAAAATGCCTCGTTATTTAGGACCTGAATGATGTTCTGACTTTTGCTAGTGTAGAGTTTGGTGTTGACGAGGCTGGTTATACGAGTCTCTGGAGTTAGGTTTGGTGTCATGTCCACTCCCAGGTCTTTTTCTCTAGCTGTAGCAGGGAGGTAGTTTCCTTTTACGTGTACTGTCCCTTTGGTCTCCTGTCAAATGCTTTCATTTCCATCACCTTTCATATGTTGGTGTTAAAATCTAGTAGCCATTTCTCGGACCAAGTGTACAGGTAGTTTAAGTCATTTTAGAGAATCTTACAATCCTCATCTGTCTCAATTTTTCTCATTAGTTTTGCAACGTCTGAAGACATTGACATAAAAGACTCAACTCCTACAAACATGTCATTTACATAAATAAGAAATTGTATGGGTCCCAGCACCGATCCTTGAGGTACTCTGCTGGTATGGTTATTCTTCTCCTGTACAAGTTCTCATCACTCGCCTCTACTCTCTGTCTCCTGTCGGTTAGGTAATTTTTTAATCTGAGAGCCACTAACACTAGTGGCCTCGATGAGGACAGGAAGCCGCCGGCTTGTCGAATGTCATCCCCCCCACCTCATTTATCTTGATTTCTTACCCCATGTTAGGGTTTTCCCATTTACTCCCGCCAACCTTTCGAACTGTTAGCAGTAATCTCTTGCGAGACACTGTATCCAAGGGTTTTTTAGAATCCAAAAACACGGCGTCTACCAAACCTGCTCTGTCCTGCCTTATTGTCCTTACTTTATTTCGAACTCTAATAGGTTCGTCAGGCATAATTTACGCTTCCCAAAATAATTATTATTACGAGTATTTTGCAGGGGGGAGGGAGGGGGGGGGAGGGGGGGAAGTTCGTCAGTGACACTGGTCTGTAGTTAAGGGCCTCTTCTCTATCTCCTTTCTTGTAAACTTGTATCACAGTTGGACAATTCTCCCTTTGTTACACATTAAAAATGATTGCGCATGCTGTGTGTGTGTGTGTGTGTGTGTGTGTGTGTGTGTGTATGTGTGTGTACTTACCTACTTGTACTTACCTAGTTGTGATTGCGGGAGTTGAGCTCTGGCTCTTTGGTCCCGCCTCTCAACGGTTAATCAACTAATGTACAGGTTCCTGAGCCTACTGGGCTCTATCATATCTACACTTGGAACTGTGTATGGAGTCAGCCTCCACCACATCACTGCCTAATGCATTCCATCTGTTAACTACTCTGACACTGAAAAAAGTTCTTTTTAACGTCCCTGTGGCTCATTTGGGTACTCAAGTCTCCCCCTGTGTCCCCTTGTTCGCTTACCACCCGTGTTAAACAGTTTATCCTTATCTACCCCGTCAATTCCTCTGAGATTTTTGTAGTTAGTGATCATGTCTCCCCTTACTCTTCTGTCTTCCAGTGTCGTAAGGTGCATTTCCCGCAGCCTTTCCTCGTAACTCATGTATCTTAGTTCTGGGACTAGTCTAGTGACATACCTTTGAACTTTGTCCAGCTTCGTCTTGTGCTTGACAAGGTACGGGGTCCATGCTGGGGCCGCATACTCCAGGATTGGTCTTACATATGTGGTATACAAGATTCTGAATGATTCCTTACACAGGTTCCTGAAGGCAGTTCTGATGTTAGCTCGCGTATGCCGCTGATGTAATTCTTTTTATGTGGGCTTCAGGAAACAGGTTTGGTGTGATATCAACTCCTAGATCTTTCTCTCTGTCTGTTTCACGAAGTACTTCATCTCCCATTCGGTATCCTGTGTCTGGCCTCCTGTTTCCACTCCCTAGTTTCATTTCCTTACATTTACTCGGTTGAACTTTGGTAGCCATTTGTTGGACCATTCATTTAGTCTGTCTAGGTCATCTTGTAGCCTCCCACTATCTTCCTCCGTCTTAATCCTCCTCATAATTTTTGCATCATCAGCAAACAGTGAGAGAAAGGAGTCTATACCCTCTGGGAAATCATATACATACATCAGAAACAGTATAGGTCCAAGGACTGACCCCTGCGGGACTCCACTTGTAACGTCTCGCCAATCTGAGACCTCACCCCTCACACTGACTCGTTGTCTCCTGTTGCGTAGGTACTCCTGTATCCAATGGAGTACCTTCCCTTTCACTCCATCCTGCATCTCCAGCTTTTTCACTAGCCTCCTGTGTGGTACTGTATCAAAGGCTTTCTGACAATACAAAAATGTGTGTATATGTGTGTGTGTGTGTTTTGTAAGTACACTTCAAGTTGGTCATCAACACCTGACACTTAACGAGACACTTCGCTACTTCACAAACAACAACAACTTGCATAACGCCACTAATATAAGTATCCGTAATCCCCCCAAATATAACCCTAATCAAGCCCTGATCCTCTTCACGGCTCTCCAAGTGTTTGTTTGTTTGTTTGTTTGGTCCAAGAGCCGCAAAGACACTAATATATTTGTTTTGCTTAAAGGGGGGGGGGGGCAAAACATAACTCAAAGAATGTTTGGTGAGGACGAGTTGGTGTTGAAGTCACGGTTTGGGGCCCAGTGTTTGGAGCCCAGTGTTTGGGGCCCAGTGTTTGGAGCCCAGTGTTTGGGGCCCAGTGTTTGGGGCCCAGTGTTTGGGGCCCAGTGTTTGGGGCCCAGTGTTTGGGGCCCAGTGTTTGGGGCCCAGTGTTTGGGGCCCAGTGTTTGGGGCCCAGTGTTTGGGGCCCAGTGTTTGGGGCCCAGTGTTTGGGGCCCAGTGTTTGGGGCCCAGTGTTTGGGGCCCAGTGTTTGGGGCCCAGTGTTTGGAGCCCAATGTTTGGGGCCCAATGTTTGGGGCCCAATGTTTGGGGCCCAATGTTCGGGGCCCAGTGTTTGGGGCCCAGTGTTTGGGGCCCAGTGTTTGGGGCCCAGTGTTTGGGGCCCAATGTTTGGGGCCCAATGTTTGGGGCCCAATGTTTGGGGCCCAATGTTTGGAGGCCAATGTTTGGGGCCCAATGTTTGGGGCCCAATGTTTGGGCACGGTGTCCCACGTCCTGTCACGCCGCTGTCACTCAACTCACTGTCGTGTCCTCCGCGGCCCTCAGCTAATCCTTCTGACGAGGAGTTCAGTTCTATTCATTCCTTTATAATTATAATTGAGAGGGATTCAATCCTGCGCTTACACAGCTGCCATCCAGTCAGTCAAGTCAGTCAAGTCAGTCAGCAGACAGAAGAAAGCCAGTCAGCAAGCCATGAAACCAGGCAGTCAGCCATCCAATCAGCCAACTAACTAGGCAGCTCCAGTCGTGAAGATATCGATGTTACCTCTCGTATCGGAATGGATGATAGCAATGCGTGTTTTCGATAGCCTCAGGTCATTATGAACAATACCAGGATAGCCAGTCTGAATGGCTGTCTGACTGGACTTCTGACTGGCCGAGTACGTCCCTTTGACCGACTGCTTGGCTCACTGTCCAACTGGATGCTGCCAATGGCTGGTAATCTGATCGGTTGACTGGCAAATGGATGACTGGGAGAGTGGCTGCCTGGTTGACTCGAGTGGACGACACTATCCCGGTGTTGAGTGACAGAGTGACCAAGGTGCGACAATAGGCGCTCAAGTTGACGTCCTTAATGCCTAGATTATGACGTTTTTCCTCCCTCTGATCACCTCTGTGTCTGGGGCCATCAGCTGCCCATCTCAGAGGTTTTTTTTATTGATTTCAGCTAGTTTTTTGTTGACAATTTTTATAATATTAATTCTTGGATTGGTCCGGTGTCGCTTCTCACGGCCCATTACGCGCTGTGGCTCTCCTGCTGCGTGCACGGGATGACCTTACGTACGTGCACGGGCTGGGTACATGCACGGGCTGAGCTTACGTACGTGCACGGGCTGGGCTTGCGTACATGCACGGGCTGAGCTTACTTACATGGCACGGGCTGAGCTCACGTACATGGCACGGCCTGAGCTTACGTACATAGCCCGGGCTGAGCTTACGTACATGGCACGGTCTGAGCTTACGTACATGCCACGGGCTGAGCTTACGTACATGCCACGGGCTGAGCTCACGTACATAGCCCGGGCTGGGCAGCAACCACAAGAGGAAACATATAAACTAAGCCAAGGATATATTACAACATTTACAGAGAACGACGAGGAAATGTGTGAGGAACCTCACAAACGATCCTTTAAACATGTCTTGCTCAGGTGAGAAAGGGAAGGGAAGGGAAGGGTGACCTGCCTGAACTGATCAGTAAGTTACTGAACCATTTGAGACAATGGAAGACATATTACCCCCCCCCCCATACGCCATATGACACCAGATAATTACATCTGACAGCGGTTACAGTAAGACACAGAACTGATGCCCATTTACTACCTGATCACTGTAAATGGCTTCCAGTGAACACGGGCTGGCCATTTACATTGAGTTTTAAAGAGGTCAGTGGAAATGGGGAACTACCAGAAATTTGGAAGACGGCTAAATATTTTTTATACAAATATACGAAAAGGGAGGAAGATAGTATATATATAGGACCTTAACTATATTCTCAGGAGCTTCACAAGCATACGGAACACAGTGCCGGAACACGGCCCCCGCAGCGCCGGAACACGGCCCCCGCAGCGCCGGAACACGGCCCCCGCAGGCCTCAAGTCGCTATATAGGAGAAGAAACGTGAGAGACGTGATCACGACATATACAATACACAGGGAATTGACCAGACAAAGAGGTTCTTTAACATAAAATGAACCATAAAACCTTTAGTAAAATATTGATTAGTGTCAGTATTAAAAATTAAGTGAACTTAAGAGTGGTGTATATATGACAGAAGTGACTCCCAGCCCACACACCTCACACCCAGCCCACACACCTGACACCCAGCCCACACACCTCACACCCAGCCCACACACCTCACACCCAGCCCACACACCTCACACCCAGCCCACACACCTCACACCCAGCCCACACACCTCACACCCAGCCCACACACCTCACACCCAGCCCACACACCTCACACCCAGCCCACACACCTCACACCCAGCCCACACACCTCACACCCAGCCCACACACCTCACACCCAGCCCACACACCTCACACCCAGCCCACACACCTCACACCCAGCCCACACACCTCACACCCAGCCCACACACCTCACACCCAGCCCACACACCTCACACCCAGCCCACACACCTGACACCCAGCCCACACATCTGACACCCAGCCCACACATCTGACACCCAACCCACACATCTGACACCCAGCCCACACACCTGACACCCAGCCCACACACCTGACACCCAGCCCACACACCTGACACCCAGCCCACACATCTGACACCCAGCCCACACACCTCACACCCAGCCCACACACCTCACACCCAGCCCACACACCTCACACCCAGCCCACACACCTGACACCCAGCCCACACATCTGACACCCAGCCCACACACCTGACACCCAACCCACACACCTGACACCCAGCCCACACATCTGACACCCAGCCCACACACCTGACACCCAGCCCACACATCTGACACCCAGCCCACACACCTGACACCCAGCCCACACACCTGACACCCAGCCCACACATCTGACACCCAGCCCACACACCTGACACCCAGCCCACACACCTGACACCCAACCCACACATCTGACACCCAGCCCACACACCTCACACCCAACCCACACATCTGACACCCAACTCACACACCTGACACCCAGCCCACACACCTGACACCCAGCCCACACACCTGACACCCAACCCACACACCTGACACCCAGCCCACACACCTGACACCCAGCCCACACATCTGACACCCAGCCCACACACCTGACACCCAGCCCACACAC